CCATGTGATGGGAGCCCAGTAGCGTGAGCGGGGAAGCTTCCTGGCATACCAGTGTGGCTTTCATAAGTAAAAGTAACAAGGCAGGGAGTAGGAGGGGAGAGGCAAGTGGTTAGAGCAGGAAGGGGAGGGAAAAGCTGGAGAGATGAATCAGTGACCTTGTCCCAAGTGCTGGGATTAAAGTGGGGGTGGGGGATCATCCATTGGAATTTCCAGTTTAGTGTCAGTACCCAGCCTGGCACCGTAGACACTGTCAGCCAAGCAGCCCTTCCAAGCCATTTTCCCAGACCCATAAGCATTTCGTGAGTTAACTCTTTTCTTTCCCCAGTGAATCACCCTGCGGTGGGCCTGACACACAGCATCGTGGGAGCAAATCCCTTTGGCCCCTTCTTATGTTTGGGGGGTGCATCATGTGGAGTGATTTAAAGCATGGTATGGCAGGCAGTACCAACCAGAACTATGGCACTTTGCTGCCTCCTTCTTAGATCCTGAATGAGATAACAGAAACTTACAAAAGAGATGTAAAGTTTATGAGAGTGAGAGACATAAAAGCTTAAATTATTTATTTAAGAAAACGTTTTAAGGTCTAAAAGGATATTTTAGGCTGGTAATACAAGATGTGATAGAAGATGGTCTAGATATAAAACTTTGGACTCATCAAGATAGGATAGATAATACAGTATTTTCTCTGAAATTGCCAAATACAAATGGACTGGACATTGTGAATGTAATTCTCACTTGATAATTATTCTTATTATATATAGTTTTACTGTGTTAGAATTGAACCCTTTCTTTTTTATTTAGACAAAAAGGGGGAAATGTTGTGGAGTATTATGTACACTGTAAAGCTGTGTCTCTGCCTAAGGCGCCTTCTGATTGGTTTAATAAAGAGCTGAAAGGCCAATAGCTACACAGGAAAGGATATGTGGAATTTCCAGGAAGAGAGAGGAAGAGGAGGAGGAATCTAGGCCTGTGGACTTTCACCAGAAGACTCTGAGCAAGTCAGATGTACTGTACTGAAAAAAGGTAAATGCCACATGGTAGAACATAGATGAACAGAAATAGGTTAATTTAAGTTATGAGTTTGTTGGAGAAAAGCCTAAGCTAAGCCCGAGTTTTTATAATTAATAAGAAGTCTCTGTGTCATTATTTTGGGGTCTGGAAATCCAAGAAAAGTCTGCCTACAAGAGATGGAGACATTTCATACACATCAAAGGAAAAATCCACCAAGATCACATTTCAATTCTGAACATCTATGCCCCAAATGCAAGGGCACCCACATTTGTAAAAGAAGCGTTACTAGAGCTTAAACCACACACCAGACCTCACACACTGATGGTAGGAGATTTCAATACCCCACTCTAACCAATGGATAGGTCATCCAGACAAAAACTAAACAGAAGTATAATAGAGCTAACAGACATTATGAATCAAATGGACCTAACGAACACCCACAGAACATTTCACCCAAACACAAAAGAATACATCTTCTTCTCAGCACCTCTTGGAACATTCTCCAGAGCTGACCCTGCACTCGGTCACAAAGCAAGTCTCAACAGTTAAGCATCGTATGTCACAACCACCATTCATCCTCTGGTTCAACGGATTAGGATCAATGTATAAAGTTCATCACATGAATACGCTAAAGAAGAGAAGTCACATGATCACATCAATGGATCCAGAGAAGCATTTGACAAAATTTGACTCTCAGCAAAGTGGGACCAGAGGAGAACTTCTTCAAGTTGCTAAAGAATATCTGTAAAAAAAATACAGCTAGCAGATGTGAGAGTGAGAAAATTCAGCAGAGAAGAACGGATCAGAAACAGTGCAGAAAGGAGAGTAGGGTGGAATACTTTACATGCTAAGAAAGAAAAAAAAAAAACATCTACCTTGGAAAAACTATGCTTCAAGATAGAAGTGAAAGTCTGCTTCAACTTTCAGTGACCACACCCCCAGCATTGGCTCAGAGAAACATGAAGAAACCGAGAAGGAAAAGATGAGCAAAGTCATCACTGTCAGAAAAAAATCTGTGTGTTAGATGATGATGTCCAAGTTCACACGGCTCCAGGTCACACAGCTAGGCTTGGAAGCCAGTAATTCTGAACTCCCAAGTTTGTGCTCTTAATCTGATGCCATTGAAATGAGCTTTTTATACTGAAAGACAAGGATGATACAGATAATTGCTTGAATGTTCCACATCCACCCTCAAATGTCCCCAATCATTTTACTGTATCACTACTCACTATATAATTAAGTGCAATTAGGGATAAAAATAGATCACATTTCTGCTTAAAAAACAAAAACTCATGGCATTTCTCCTCCAAATCATCACATAGTATATGTTTACGGATTTCCAATGTATCACATTAAAATGCCACTACCTGCTTCAGGTATTCTAGCCCGATCAGAGAAATGTTCACAAAGCTTGTAAGGCAGTTACAGATAACTTTCCCTTCTGTATTTTGAACAAGGGCTCACTATGTATCCTGGGGTGACCCTCAACTTTCTCTGTAACCTAGGCTGGCACTGAAATTGAGATCCTATCTCAGCCTTCGAGTCCAGCTGAGAAATATTTCTTCTATATAGAACCTTAAAAATTTTGTGAGAAATACTCTTCCCATGTAGAAGGTTAATTTTCCACACAGAAACATCCTGCATAGAAACCCATTCTGCAGTAAATAAACTGTCTGGCTTTTAATAATATTAAGATTAAGATAATATTAAATTTTCTTTAACACTGCCTCGGCGTTTACAGTTGTCTTATGCTTTTTTTTGTTGTTGTTGTTCTTGTTTCGTTTTTTTTCTTTTTATTATTAAGAAGTTTTCTATTCATTTTACGTACCAAGCACAGAT